ATGTCGACCTAGGGGAGGCCCAGGACCGGTTCAGATAATCGCCACTGGGTGTTGGCCGTGAGCGCAGCGTAGCGCTAACCGCCACACTACCGCTCCCAACATATATATATACACACACAGACGTGTCTATATATGGTCTGTGTCTCTTTGTATATTATCGGAATGTTGCTTGACAGGCGTCAAACCGGTAACCGCGTAGTCAACGAGGCGGCAAACCGGTAACCATTTTCCCGGCGTAATGTTTGTCGTGAACCGTGCCCCGATTGGCACGGAGCTCGAACGGACAAACCGCACGGCGCGGCCTGAGTCTCCGTGTGGACCGCTTTCGTTTCTCGTACGCCCGCTTTCGTTTCTCGTGCGTTAAAGGAGGTAAAAAGGCTGCCGCTGTGATTCCTCGCATACCCTCCTCACGCGGGACGGAGTTGTACGTACTTGCGTGTTGAACTTCATTCGCACCGTACGTAGCCAAACCGCGCTAATCGGAGGTGCGGGGTAAAGCACGCCAAACTACACACACAAATACATTCTAAAGAAAAACGAGTTTTTTAAAAAAATCTATATCACTTAAAAGTGCGCAGCTCTCAGTGGCTTCCTAATATCGGAAGGAAGAGCGTTCCAGACGGCCGCAAATGCGATGGGGCTAGCCAAAATCCGCTGCTGCGAGGATGCCCGGAGTTCTTAAAGAGGGTGATTGATTGGTCCAACTCTTCCGCGCGGAGCGGATACGTCTTGGAAGACGTGGACGTACCCACCGCACGAGACATCTCCATCGACTCATAGACTAACTGTGCCGCGGGGCTGCCGCTGGGGACACGGAGGTGGGTGGGTGGGTAGGGGGTAGGGGGGGTGAGACTCAAGACGCTTGCGCCGTTCTTTTCAGCTGCCGCGCCTGGAGATCGAAACGAAAAGGGCGAAGCACGGAGGCAGCTTCCTTCGAGTCTCAGCGGAACAACGTAAAAGCAATGTCACTCGTTCGCAAATTAAATAATGGTTACGAGACATGCCTATATATGGTATTGTGCGGAAATCCGGTGACCGGTATTTTTGTCATTGCGGTTACCGATATTGTAAAAAAATATATATATTTTAACAACTGTGATATATGCATATGTCTCTGTGTGTACATATAGGTGTGTATGTATGTACAGTACTGTATATATGCGTATTTCGAAATGTGTATATTGTATATGTGTTTATATATAGTTGTGTGTAGGTATGTATGTGTATTTAAAACTGTGTATACATGCATATACGTTACATGTGTGTGTATGTATGCAAACCTACACATATATGTATGTGTAGGTATGTAAAGAGCGGTGGAACAGCGGTTAGTGCTCTGCGCTATGAACCCGGCCACCCGAGTTCGATTCCAACTCACGGCCAACTCACGGCCAACACCGGTGACGATTACTTGAACCGGTCCTGGGCCTCCCATCGGTCGACTCAGCCTCAAATGAGTACCTGGTGCGGTGTGTAGTAAACATCGCCACTGGGGAGACAAAGGCGGCCGGGCGTGTTGCTGACCACCCACCCTCTCGTGTGCCGTGTCGGCCATCATAGGTGCTCGCTAACAGCACTTGCCCCTACAGTCTGTTAAGGTTGTATGGGCGGTCTTTGTCTGCTTTTTTTTCTATCTATGCATACGTACACATTGTAATATTACGCACACGTGTAATATAACAAAACATGTATAGGCATTTAGGCACGTATATTTATATATGTGTGTGTATACACTATAACGCGATCTAACCCACCAAAAAACCCCTTTTAATATGAATAACACTGGTCTCGCGAAAGCCTACGTGTTAAACACTACATAGCATGCGCAGTGAGGAGCGGTGGCACGGCAGTTAGCGGCCTCTGTTCGCAATGTGAATATGAACCCGAGCGAGTTCGATTCCCGCTCACGGGCCAACATCGGTGACGAATATCTGCGCCGTTCACGGTCCTCCCCCTAGATCGACTCAGCCATAAAACAAAATTAACATCTGGCCGGGGTGTGTGAACATCAGCGATGGGAAGACAAAGGCGGCCGGGCGTGGTGCTGTCCGCCTACTCCCCTCGTGTGCCGTGCCGTTCATAATTAGAATACGTGGTTGGCTAATAGCATTTGCCACAATAGTCTGTTCAACGCTATACAAAGGGATCTTTGTGTGTTTGTGTATTATATAAGCATGTATGTACAATAAACACGTGTGTGTGCTTTTGTCTTTGTGTACGTGTGTGTGTGTCTATATGCATAATTACACGCGTGTGTGCAGTAATAAAATAATATACAAATCGAAGGATTGCGAATTAAACTACGCGACTGATTAAACGACTCGAGTCACGAACGGCGCGTCGCGTTTACATGAGCGCGACGCGGTCGCGACATCTGCCGCGTGCGACCCCCTTGTACGCGGCGTGACTATGACCTCCATCATCACCTTCATCGTCATCAGCAACAACATTACCACCACAATCAGAAACGACAACAGCAGCAGCGTCATCATCATCAGCAGCGGTTCTATCAGCACCGCCATAAATGCCATGATGATTATTAACATCATCAGCATCAGCAACACCATCATCAGCAACACCATCATCAGCATCAGCAACACCATCATCAGCAACACCATCATCAGCATCACCATCATCAGCAAGCATCAACCTCATCAGCAGTATCATCCTCATCATCAAAAGTAACATCAGCACCGCCATCGACTCTATCCCCTCCCCCCTCGTCTTTGATCGTCATCCCCCCCCGCCGCCGCCACATCTCCCATCACCGCCCCTCCCCTCATCACCATCTCCCCTCATCACCATCTCCCCTCATCACCATCTCCCATCACCGCCCCTCCCATCATCACCATCTTCCCATCATCACCATCACCTTCCCATATCTCCCATCTCCTCCGCCGTTGCTATGGTCGCCCCCCCCCCCAACGTGCGCGTGACCACGTGACGAGTACTCACGCGGGGGGGGGGGGGTGGCGGAGCCCCTCCCCTCGACCCCGGTGATGAGTCGCACCCCCCCCCCCCCCGTCCCTGATCCGAGTTTCAAGCCACGTCTCTGATCGGGGGTCTCCCGTGCCTGGTATAAGTTGCGTCTTTTGAGTCCGGGTTCCTGACAGTAGCTCTGCTTTCCTGGTCCCGGTACCACTGGTGACCTCCGCCCCAACCCCACAGTACCGCCTCTGATCAAAGTTCAAGTCCCGTCTCTGATCTAAGTCACGTACCGTCGTCTCTGGATCCCATCACTCCACGTCTCTAGATTCATGACTCTGTCCCTCTCTTTGTGTTCTGCTTACTCTCGTGAACTCCAGCGCCGCATCTGAACTCAAACAAGCCTCCACGTCTCTGAGATCATGGCCACGTTTCTGATTTCATTTTTTTTTCCTTTGCCAATCTGTTTCTCGGCCAACAACTCGCCTGTCTTTGATCTAAGTCAGCTCACCCGTCTGTGATCCCATCCACGTCTCTTCTCACGACTCCCTCCTCCTTACTTCCCCTCGCTGTCTGTGCCGGCTTCCATTCGTGAACTCAGCGCCGTCTCTGATCTGAGCCAAATCCCCCCCCTCCCCACCGTCTCTGCTCAAAACTTCACCCTCGTGTTTATCCTCTGTCAACAAGTCTCCGTCTACCGCTCCCGAGTTGAGGTCCCGTCTCTGATCGCGGCCAAAGTCCCCGAGTCAAAAGTCCCGTCTCTGACAATAACTTTATCTCGCCGGTCTCGCAGGGTTGCCCATCGATGGCTCGGCGCGCTCTCAATTCGCCCTCACCGCTCCCCCCGTGCCGCCGCCGCCGCCGCTGCTGCTGAGGGTCTCCCGCTCTCCCGTTCACTCTCGCAGCCTATAGAGAGCACGGGCCGAGGGGAGGAGTGGACGTGGTGTGGGGGAATGGGGGGGGTGGGTGGGAGCAATGAGAGGTCGCGGAGGATGAAGAGGGGAGGGAGAGATGATGGTTGGAGAGTTAGGAGGGGAGGGTGTTGAGATGAAGGGGGAGATGGTGGTGGGAGAGAGGGAGGGAGATGATGGTGGGCAAAGAGGGGAAGGGGCAAAGAGGAGGAGGGAGATGGTGGTGAAGGAGGGAGGGAGGGAAGGGGTAGGGAGATGGTGGTGGGAGGGGAGGTAGGCAGGGAGGAGGGGGACATTAGTTGAGCCACTGCGCAAAAAATACAACCACAAAACAAAAATAACGCGGAGAATAATTAAAAAAAATTTAATCAACGTATTCCATGGTGGAAAACCGGCCAGAGAGACACGGGGAGAGACGCACGGGGGGACACGGAGACACGCTGGGACGTTGCGAGACAGATACACACGACCTTTGCGCGCACACAGCCACACGCGTACACACACAGACATACACGCGTACACACACAGACACGCACGGAGACAATGAGACGTACACACTGACACTTTGACACACACACACGTGGACAATAATCACGCCCGATCACACACAGGCACACAAAGTCAGAGGTCCCCCGTAAAGTCTTCACAGGCTGATGGGGAAAGTGCACGGCCCACGAGGGGGTGGGTGGCCAGCACCACGCCGGGCCGCCTTTGTCCCCTAGTAGCGATGTTTACACACCGCGCCAGGAACTAATTTGAGGCTGAGTCGACCTAGGAGAGGCCAAGGACCGATTCAGATAATCGTCACTGGTGTTGGTGGCCGTGAGCGGGAATCGAACTCTGGTCGCCGGGTTCGTAGCGCAGCGCGCTAACCACTGCGCCACCGCTCCCTATACAGATCCGCACATATACACACAGACACATGTACACACAGAGACGCATGCACAAAACACGCACACGCACAGAAACACGTGTGTGCACATACACGTACACGCACAGAAGACGCACACATGCAAACGCACAACGACAAAGGCACACCAACGGATATACAGACAAAAAACACACAGAAGCACGTGTACACACAGACACACGCACGCACGAGCGCAGACCCGCGCGAGCGTGCGCGCGCTCGCTCGCGCGGGTCTCCTCTCCGCGTGACGCACGCGCGTGCTCGTGCGCGCGCTCCCGCCCTCCCGTCGCGCGCCCAGCAGCCGAGCCGAGCCGCCGTGCGTCCGCGTCTCCCTTGCACGACTCCGCGTGCCTCCTCCTCCTCCCCACCCCGTGCACTACCCGCGCGCTTCCTTCTACCCGTGCACTACCGGCGTAACCGCGCGTGCGCCTCCTCCTCCTACCCGTGTAGCCGCGTGCGTCCGCGCGTCTCAGCGTTACCCGCGTGCGTTCGTGCAATACTCGCGTACCGGTGCGTCTTTGCTTTAACCGCGTGCCCGTGTACCCCCCGTGTACCCCCCGTGTACTCCCCGTGTACCCTCCGTGTGCGCACGAGCGGGCATCGCAGTGCGTGCACCAACGACCGCTCCGCCGCAGCGTTCGACGCGTCCTCCTCCTCGTCGTCTTCGTCGTCCTCCTCCGCTTCCTTTTCAATTCCTGCTCGCCCGTCTTCGTCTATTTCTCATCATAATCGCCGTCATCGCCATCGTCATCGCCGTCATTAGCGGCACCCCTCTCTGCGTGAAGGCAGAATCGCGTGGAGCACGTTCTCTGTACCCTCGTCCTCGATTTGGTCCTTCTCGGGGTTTCTTCTTTCTTCAATCATCTTCATCATTTTCGTAATTATCAACCACCTCGTCAACGTCACCTCATCGCCACCTCCTCCCAGTTTGACCTCGAGCAGAGAGCATCGCTTCACGTCGAGCGCAAGCAAATATCGCCGGCCATTTAAACGCAAGTCACCATTACAACAACCACCATCACCGCAATCAAAACCACCTAACAACCCGAACATCGCAAAGACCACCACCACTGTCACCATCGCATACTCCACCAACACTCAAGCCTAGCTCACCACCACCTCCACCACAACAACCACAACCCGGACACCATCACGGCAACACCACCGTTATCGCCACCGCAACGCGACCACCACAACCTCCGCCACCACTACAACTACCACTACCGCCACATCCACACTAACACCGCCGCTATTACCACTACGATCACCCTGACACCACGGCGACCACCTTTGCCGAAAGAGCGCTACCACAACCACCATAACCCGAACGTAACCTACCCCTTCACTCAAATACCAACACCACCACCACTACAACCGCTACCAACACACTACCAATATAATCTTCACCACCACCACCATCCTTACAGCGCCACTGCCTTCCCCATAACCTCACCACCACTATCAAGTTCACCATCTTCACGCGATCATTTCGATAAATACCACCATCACTCTACCACCGTAAACCCACCACCACTGTTTTCAGCACATTGACGCCACTACCCTACCACTCTACCACCAGCACCACAATCATCTTCAGAACCTCCTTCACTCTACTACTACCACCAGCACCATGTCGGTCTTCCGAGGCCACCTGACCCACGCGGCCACGAGCGCGCGCCACAAGGCGGAGTCCCGCGTGAGCGGCCTCCTGGCCCGCCTCGGGGTGCAGGCCACGGCCGGTGAGGAGTCCGTGGGCTTCGCGTCGTGCGACTCGCTGGACCGCGACCACCGGCACGGCCTCGCCATGGACGAGCTGGGAGGAGGAGGAGGGGGAGGGGACGACAATCAAGACGGCAGCGGCTCCCCGTGCGCCGAGGGCGACGTTCGCTACCAGAGGGGCGGCGGTGGAGGCGCGGCCCCCCCGCGGAGGAGCCCCATGAGCAGGGCCTCCTCGACCGACAGCCTCGGGGCCGACGGGGGCCCTCGCATCACGGCGTGGGACGCGGGGTGGAACGTCACGAACGCGATACAGGTGGGACGGCGGCACGAGGCTCCGGTCACGTGGATTTAGTTTTCGTTTTTGTCCTCGGGATTTTTTTTTTAACCTTCACGTTTATAAACAAGCAAGCATTTAGATTGTAATTGATGTCGGTGGTTCTTCACTCATTTTCAGAGGGGTTCGGTGGGGATGTGGTGGAGGGGGGGGGCACTTTCGCCGATAAGACATCATCAGGACAGTGATTTTTTTTTAAATGTACCTATTTTCAATGAGAAAACGTGGTGTGCATTTGTGTCATTCCTTCACGTAAAGTCCTGGTCACAAAAGCAAAGTTTGTGGGGAATAATAATAATAATTATAGTCATCTTCTATACTTTTGAGGCATACGCAATTAGAAAATAGCACTTACTACCCAGGAACAAAAATCGTGTTACATATTGATTATTGCATAGCTCGTGTGCGTGTGTGGATTTGTGCGTGCGTGCGGGTAATATGGGGAGTGGTGGCGCAGTGGTTAGTGCACTGCGCTACGAACCCGGCTTGCCCAAGTTCGATTCCCGCTCACGATAAATAACAGTGGCTAATATAAGAACGAGTCCTGGGCCTCCCCTAGGTCAACCTAGGCTTAAAATGAGCACCTGTTCCGGTTCTTGCCACACGACCCCGTGTTGGCCCTTCATAGGTGCTCGACGGTGATGGTGATAATAATAATACTACTAACAGTGATTCTGTTTCGGGGATGTTCGCTTTGGGCTTCCCCTATGCTGTGTTGATGGTGATGTGTAGAGGTGTTCGCATGTTGTGTTGATGGTGATTGATGATGATGATGTTGATAATGGTAATGGATGGTGGTGGTGATGATGATGGTTCTTAGGGGATGTTCGTATTGGGTCTGTCCTACGCCATGTTGATGATGATGGTGTCGATGGTGTTAATGGGGGTGGTGATGGATGTTCGTGTTGCGCCTGATAGTGGTGATGATGGTGGTGGTGGTGATGATGATGTTGATGGTGTTGATGATGATGGTGATGGTGGTAATGGTGCGTCGGGGATGTTTGTGCTGGGCCTGCCCTACGCTGTGTTGATGGTGATGATGTTGGTGGTGGTGATGGTGTTGATGGTGATGGTGGTGATGGTGCGTAGGGGATGTTTGTGCTGGGCCTGCCCTACGCCGTGTTGATGGTGATGATGTTGGTGGTGGTGTTGATGGTGGTGATGGTGCGTAGGGGATGTTGGTGCTGGGCCTGCCCTACGCCGTGTTGATGGTGATGATGTTGATGGTGGTGGTGGTAATGGTGGTGATGGTGCGTAGGGGATGTTGGTGCTGGGCCTGCCCTACGCCGTGTTGATGGTGATGATGTTGATGGTGGTGGTGATGATGATGATGATGGTGTTGATGGGAGTGGTGATGGTGGTGATGGTGCGTAGGGGATGTTGGTGCTGGGCCTGCCTTACGCTGTGTTGATGGTGATGATGTTGGTGGTGGTGATGATGGTGTTGATGGTGTTGATGGGGGTGGTGATGGTGGTGATGGTGCGTAGGGGATGTTCGTGCTGGGCCTGCCCTACGCCGTGCTGCACGGCGGGTATCTTGGCCTCTTCCTCATCATCTTGGCAGCCGCCGTGTGCTGCTACACGGGCAAGGTGACACACACACACACTACAACAACTACTACAACAACACAACAGCAACAACAACACACCAATACCACAATTGCAACACAACAGTAACATCAACAACACTACAACAACTCACCACTAACTCGCCATCGAACAAAGACGCTCACCGCATCGCGCGCTCTCAGATCGCGCTTCAGCGGCCGTCTGGAACGCTCTTCCTTCCAACATTAGGAAGCCAGTAGAGGAATGCACTTTTAAATCATCTACATTGAAAATTATAATTTTTTACTTCAGAAGTGCTTTTTGTCTTTATGTTTAGCCCTTCCGCCGCACCTCCGATTAGCACGGTTGGCTACGTACGATGCAAAATAAGTTCAACATACATAGAACATGCATACTACATACGTGCCATTGGTGGGACAGGCGGTGAGGCGTGGGGTTTTCTGGACAGGAGCATCCAGCGTGGCAGATCCCCAGGTGCAGTTTTGTTGAGGTTGGAGATCGTGGTGGTGAGGTCATTCACCGGGGTGAATGGTCGCAGGATGCTGAGTGGTGGGATGGCTAGAGTCAGTTATCTTCAGGCCCTCGTAACCCACAGGCCAATGGTTCTCAATCTTTTGTTGTGCTTCTTTGGGAGCGTCCATAAATGACGTCACGCATCTGGGGGGGGGGGGTCAGACTTTTGTGACGATGTGTGACGAGGGGGGGGGGGGGTTGCGAAATGTGACGTCACATCAAAATGCGCAATTTTAAATAAATATAGACAACACGTTCTACTTAATTAAATAGACTTTTTAGTAAATGTTTTCTCCTACAACATCAGAGTGCAGCGCCACATTAAATACGCGCTACAATGACAATAGTTTAAAGCGATTTGAAGCATGTTTTATTGTTTTTTTGTTGGGGGAGGGGGCAGAGCTTTGTGACGTCATATTTGAGGGGGGGGTCTGACTTTTTGTGACGTCGTGTGACGAAGCGGGGGGGGGGGGGTAAAAAATCGTCCAAAATCGCGTGACGTCATTTATGGATGGCCCCTTACCCCCCTTGTGGAATTTAGTTTTAACCGAGTGAGAAGCCATCCATGTAGCTCATACGCATGGAGCGGAAGGGGGGGGGGGGTTAACCCAAACGCGTAGCTTGCGTGTGGGGGGTCTACTGACAATGTACGTATAGGAACCGGAGGGGGGGGGTGAAGCCTCGATAATAATTTGTCTACATTGCCCTTCAAATGAGTTAGACAGTCCGGCGGTGGACTTCTCCGTTTGTGTGAACACGTGAATATTAATAATCCTTGATCGTTTCTGCGTGGATTAAATATCGGCCGTTCTATAGGATTCGGGGGGGAGTGGGGGTGGTGCGTCAGGCTACGTACACAGGTGGGAGGGGGGGGGGTAAAAAGTCCGCGTGCCTACAGGGAGGGGGAGAGGGGTAAAATTTTGACAGATCTTTGCGTACCCCCTAAATGGATGGCCCCCTAACCCCCCTCGCTTGTCCCAACATGGTTCTGAGAAATAAATGTGTGAATAAATTAACATTAATATTTTAACCAGTTGTCCATTTCGTGAGGCATCCCAAACTAGCTAAGTAACTGCGAGCGAATGAAAAAAAACAATTAACGTACACTCTGCATGTACAACGTAATTTGTTCACGTTCGCTGCTTACTCTTGGAAACCACACCGTTTAGAAATCACCGCACGTACCGCCTGGGACATTGCCACGTAACCCCCTAGGGGTACGCGTACCCCCCCCCCCCCCCCCCCCAGTTGAGAACCACTGCCAAAGGCCCTCATATTCTGTGTGGCCATCCTTCCGGCCCTCCGTTCCACGTTGAAGTAACAGCTGAGCCACAGTGGTGCGGCTATCGGAAATCAAACGAATTGTCTTTGAATCACGATAACAACATTCGTGACTTTGCCACAGATAAAGCTAGGTGGGGGGGGGGGGATATATTGTTTGAAGAAGTTAGTGTAGTTTGATTCATTTACCTTGACTGGAATGCATTTGTAAAATTGACACAAGTAAATAAATGCATACTTTATTACGTTTTATAACTTCAACTTGTTATAACTTCAACTTGTTTTTGTAATCTATATATATAAGGGAAATTTGTGCATGTGTCTTTTCAAAATGTTTAGCATACTCCCCAACATGCAACAAACTTGAATTTTGGCATGTGGGTAGCTTCCAGACTGTGCACAACGCAAAAAGTATAAAAAAAATACTTTTGTATTGGGGGGGGGGGGGGCGCAATAATGGATATATTGTGCACGGAAAGTGAGCGGTGACGTCACATCTGTGATGTCATCCGCATGCGGCAGCGTCACGCAGTGTGCCTGCTGACGTCACGCAAGCCCCCACCCTCCGCGTAGGCCGTGTATTAATCCAAAACAAGAATCCAAGTCCCGGGCAAAGCTGGGTAGTAAAGCTAGTAATTGTATAAAATTGGGCTCTTCCCTCCTATTAGCCATAGGCCCCTCATAGCCTTAATGAGGCCCTGAGTGTTTGTAAAAGCCTCGCAGACAAATATAGATTATATCGGCGAGGCAGTGGCACTGCCGGTCAGTAGAGATGTTGGTGGAGCACCGGAGACTGTGGGGGTAAAGGAGGGAGGGGGGGGCGAGGTGGGGGGAGGAGGGAGAGGGGGGGAGAAGGAGAGGGGGGGAGTGGTGGAGGATGGAGAAGGGGGAGATGAGGAGGGAGAAGGAGAGGGTGGGGAGAGGTGGGGGTGGAGGAGGGAAATGAGGGAGAGGTGGGGGAGAAAATCAGAGGGGGACAGGTGGGGGGGAGAAGTGGAGGGTGAAGGAGAGGGGGGAGGGAGGAGGTGTGGAGAAGGGGGAAATGTGGGAGGCAGAGAAGAAGGGGGGGGGGGGGATATACAGTTTGTCATCTATATAATGAGCAGGTAACTTACAATGAGGATATAAACTTACCTTCTATAATTATTGTAATTGAAAAAAAAATCATAATGTTTAGAGGGAATGCAAGTTAGATGTATTGGACGTGTAATGCGAAAACAAGAGACTGGATATCAATGTTGTTGTGACTGAGAAAATTATAGGTACAACAAGAATCCAGAAGACAGTGAATTAAGTTCCGTGAGCAATTTAAACAACTGGATGCAACTGGAAGGATTATCTGAGTAAATATCATGGACAGAGCTGAATGGAAGTAAGGTCGTAATTACCGATGTATTGAAGGAAGGACACGGCACAGATGGACTGACCTTGCCTATAGACTGACGTTGCGTCTGTGAAAAAGACGCTTTCGGGAAGGACACGGCACGTTGAGAGACGGCGGCCCCATCGGTCCCACTGGCCCCACAGACCCCTAACGCCGTGCCGCCACGGCTGGGAGGTGGTGGCCACGCTCTGTGGTACAAATCATGACAATGTTCACGTCCGAGGACATCTCATCCACACCTCCGGCCATTATAACCAACCACCCGGGTCAAGCTCCCCGCGCCATTCCCCACAGCCGTCTCCACTTCTACCCACACCCTCCTCTCTCTTGTGCATCGCTGTCATCCCTCCCACCTCCCCCTTCCCCTGCCCCCTCCGTCCCGTCACCGCAGGTGCTGGTGGCGTGCCTGTACGAGGAGGATGAGGACGGCACGCTGGTGCGCGTGCGCGGCTCCTACGTGGAGGTGGCGGACGCCTGCTGCGCCCCGCGCTTCCCGCGCCTGGGCGGCCACGTCGTGAACGGCGCGCAGCTCATCGAGCTCGTCATGACGTGCGTCCTCTACGTGGTGGTCAGCGGCAACCTCATGGTCAACAGCTTCCCCGAGCTCGGCGTCTCGCAGAAGGCCTGGTGCGTGCTCGCCACGGCGGCGCTGCTGCCCTGCGCCTTCCTGCGCAGCCTCAAGGCCGTGTCGCGCTTCAGCATGCTGTGCTCGGCGGCGCACGCGCTCATCACGCTGCTCGTCATGGGATACTGCCTGAGCAGGGCGCGCGACTGGGCGTGGGACAAGATGAAGTTCTACGTGGACGTCAAGACGTTCCCCGTGTCCGTGGGCATCATCGTGTTCAGCTACACGTCGCAGATCTTCCTGCCGTCGCTCGAGGGCAACATGAGGGACCGCTCGCAGTTCAGCCCCATGATGGACTGGTCGCACATCGCCGCGTGCGCCTGCAAGGGCATCTTTCGCGCTCGTCGCCTACCTCACCTGGGCCGACGACACCAAGGAGGTGATCACCGACAATCTTCCGCCCACCTTCCGCGCCGTCGTCAACGTCTTCCTGGTGGCCAAGGCGCTGCTCTCATACCCGCTGCCGTTTTTTGCCGCCGTCGAAGTCCTCGAGACGCTGTTCTCCAAGGCTCCCACCGCCTCGCCGGCCGCGGCCGGGGCCGCCGCGACGCCGCCGACGGCGCCGCCGCCGCCGCCGACGCCGAGCCCGCCGCTCACGCCGTCGGAAGGGTCGCGGCTCGCCGCCGCCGCCGGCTCCGGCTCCTCCTCCTTCGCCACCGAGAAGGCCGCGGGGGAAGCCGACGGCGCGGCGACCTCGGTCGAGGTCCCCGCAGCAGCCGGGCCTCGCGTCGGGCAGCAGGGCCCGTCGTGGACCCTCGGCGCGGGCCCCGCGTACCTCCAGGCCTGGACCCTGGGCATGCGCTGCGCCCTGGTGGTGCTGACTCTGCTCATGGCCGTGTTCATCCCGCACTTCGCCCTCCTCATGGGCCTGACGGGCAGCCTCACGGGAGCGTCGCTCTCCTTCCTGCTGCCCTGCATGTTCCACGTGCGCCTGCTGTGGCGCAAGCTCAAGTGGCACCACGTGCTGTTCGACGCCACCATCTTCGTGGTGGGCGTCGTCGTGAGCATCTCGGGGATGGTGCACTCGCTGCAGGGCCTCGCCGAGGCCTTCCGCACGGGCCGCGAAGACTGACGAGGCGCGCGCAATCGGCCGCAACGCGCGCCTGATCTGCCACAATGAGCGCAATCAACCGCACGCGTGCAATCAACCAAGCACACGTGTTCAGCCAAACACACGTGCAAAAAACACCAACACCTACACCGCACGGACAAGTACACATACACCTACACGAACATGGACACTTACACTGCGCGAATACGTAAACAAACACGAACACCTACACCACACAAACACCTACACCACACAAACACCTACACCACACAAACACCTACACCACACAAACACCTACACCACACAAACACCTACACCACACGAACATTTATACCACACAAACACCTACACCACACAAACACCTACACCACACAAACACCTACACCACACAAACACCTACACCACACAAACACCTACACCACACAAACACTTACACCACACAAACACCTACACCACAGAAACACTTACACCACACAAACACCTACACCACACAAACACCTACACCACACAAACACCTACACCACACAAACACCTACACCACACAAAACACCTACACCACACGAACACCTACACCACACAAACACCTACACTACACAAACACCTACACCACACAAACACACCACACAAACACCTACACCACACAAACACCTACACCACACAAACACCTACACCACACAAACACCTACACCACACAAAACACCTACACCACACAAACACCTACACAACACAAACACCTACACCACACAAACACACACACACCAAACACCTACACCACACAAACACCTACACCACACAAACACCTACACCACACAAACACCTACACTACACAAACACCTACACCACACAAACACCTACACCACACAAACACCTACACCACACAAACACCTACACCACACAAACACACCGCACAAACACCTACACCACACAAACACTTACACCACACAAACACCTACACCACACAAACACCTACACCACACAAACACCTACACCACACAAACACACCACACAAACACCTACACCACACAAACACCTACACCACACAAACACCTACACCACACAAACACACCACACAAACACTTACACCACACAACACCTACACCACACGAACACCTACACCACACAAACACCTACACAACACAAACACCTACACGAACATGAACATCTACACCACACAAACATCTCCACCATACAAACACACCACACGAACACCTACACCACACAAACACTTACACCACACAAACACCTACACCACACAAACACCTACACTACACAAACACCTACACCACACAAACACCTACACTACACAAACACCTACACCACACAAACACCTACACTACACAAACACCTACACCACACAAACACCTACACTACACAAACACCTACACCACACAAACATCTACACCACACAAACACACCACACGAACACCTACACCACACAAACACCTACACTACACAAACACCTACACCACACAAACACCTACACCACACAAACACCTACACCACACAAACACCTACACCACACAAACACCTACACCACACGAACATTTATACCACACAAACACCTACACCACACAAACACCTACACCACACAAACACCTACACCACACAAACACCTACACCACACAAACACCTACACCACACAAACACTTACACCACACAAACACCTACACCACAGAAACACTTACACCACACAAACACCTACACCACACAAACACCTACACCACACAAACACCTACACCACACAAACACCTACACCACACAAACACCTACACCACACGAACACCTACACCACACAAACACCTACACTACACAAACACCTACACCACACAAACACACCACACAAACACCTACGCCACACAAACACCTACACTACACAAACACCTACACCACACAAACACCTACACCACACAAAACACCTACACCACACAAACACCTACACTACACAAACACCTACACCACACAAACACACCACACAAACACCTACACCACACAAACACCTACACCACACAAACACCTACACCACACAAACACCTACACTACACAAACACCTACACCACACAAACACCTACACCACACAAACACCTACACCACACAAACACCTACACCACACAAACACACCGCACAAACACCTACACCACACAAACACTTACACCACACAAACACCTACACCACACAAACACCTACACCACACAAACACCTACACCACACAAACACACCACACAAACACCTACACCACACAAACACCTACACCACACAAACACCTACACCACACAAACACACCACACAAACACTTACACCACACAAACACCTACACCACACGAACACCTACACCACACAAACACCTACACAACACAAACACCTACACGAACATGAACATCTACACCACACAAACATCTCCACCATACAAACACACCACACGAACACCTACACCACACAAACACTTACACCACACAAACACCTACACCACACAAACACCTACACTACACAAACACCTACACCACACAAACACCTACACTACACAAACACCTACACCACACAAACACCTACACTACACAAACACCTACACCACACAAACACCTACACTACACAAACACCTACACCACACAAACATCTACACCACACAAACACACCACACGAACACCTACACCACACAAACACCTACACTACACAAACACCTACACCACACAAACACCTACACCACACGAACACCTACACCACACGAACACCTACACCACACAAACACCTACACTACACAAACACCTACACCACACGAACACCTACACCACACAAACACCTACACCACACAAACACCTACACCACACGAACACACTTCATGCATGATCAATGACCACAGTACAGGCAAACACACACACGCACGCACGACACCTTACACAACACTCGCAATCACACACACACGTGCGGCATACACCGACGACAATAACAGCAACAACACAAGTCGCCATTCTCCAATCAAGTGACTGTGACGTCACAACAGAGCTCGTGTCAGGAGGCCAGGCTCACTTTCAGAACAAGAAGCACATGCACACGCACACACGTGCACGCGCACACGTGCACACGCACGCACACACGTGCACGCGCACACGTGCAAACTGACACACTGGCACGGGCATTTTCCACGCACACAAACACGTAAGCACACTTGAACGCCATCCGAAACCCACATTTACAGTTTGCGGACACACGGCGCACACGTGACTGGATACACATTCACACGCTCTCGCTCGCCAGACGCACGAAATTCAAACAGCGGACAAAGGTGGGGGGGGGGGGTGGTGGGGGTGGGCTCAGGCTAATATAAGGTGGGTACGCATGGCTGTGGTCTGATTGGTTAGCGGAGTTAAAGGGTAGTACGGGCGGGTGCGAGGGGAGCGCTTGGCGAGTGGGGTTAGCAGTAAGAATAGTGCCCAGCGGCTCATTGGCTAGGGACAGGAAGAGGACTACCCATGAAGCATGGAACCACGTGCCAAGGTTGGTCCAACGTTGGCCCAACGTTGGACCAACGTTGGGCCAACGGTTCCAACCAAGACGCCAACGTTGGCCCAACCGACACGTTGACACGTTTACTGGGTAGGCAGCGGCTGTGTTAGGACCGGTGGCCCCACTGAGGAGTGCGGCTCGGAGTTGAGGGTGCATGGGGGGAGTGGGACCTGTCTCGTGCTGTCAGGTCCGTGCTCTTCGTCGCAAGGCCCGCGGGCCCACTGGCGGCCCCCGGTGGCCTTTAGTGCGGCCCCTTGACGTGCGACAATACACACAATGTGAAAGCACCCCCCCCCCAAGGTGCTGTCAAACCTCCAATGGTTTCAAATGATGATGTCTTATCGGCGAAAGTGCCCCCTTCTGAAAATGAGTGAAGATCACTGTGTTTGGGGCAACGGCCGATGCTAATTGGTTGTTGATTTGGTTGGTTAGCATGGTTAATTGGTAAGGCAAAGTGCTGGCGGGGCCCCATTGGCTCGTGTGGTTATCGAGGTCGGGCTCACGGCCTACGCTGGCCTTCCCCGGTGACCATTCGAACGTTGGGTCGACGTTGGATAATGATTTGGTGATGCTGTGTTGGCAGTGGTGCACGAGCACAAATAATAACAACAACAACAAGAAAAACCGTAACACATTCGTCAATTAACACTGTGGCCTTAACCGAGGGAAAAATACATATACATTAAAAAAAAAACAGGCGACGTTTCGGGAAATGCCCCTTTTCGTCGCAAGAAATTGTTTTTAAAAGGACGATTGCCCAAAACGTCGCGTATATTTTCTCCCCTTCGTGGCCAAACGGCGTAGTCGTTGTTGACGAATTGTGAGTCTGTCGCACATCGACAGCGCAGCGTTCAACCTCTTGAGCTCCAGACAACGAACCCACACCACGGAGATACACGTGGCATTGCTGTATATGCAGTATACAGCATGTACAGCATGTACAGCATGCAGTATACAGCATGTACAGCATGCAGTATAGAGCATGCTGTGTGTGTGTGTATATATAGATACTGCCAGTACTCGTTGCCGCGTCTGGGTTGCTTGGGACGCTGTGGACGCCAGGAATGAAACTCGGCCAAAATCTGAAAGAGTGATGGGAGGTGACGTGCGGAGCAAACGAGCCGATCACGAATCCTATCACCAATTAACTAGATACCCCCCCTCCCCACCACTAACTAGCCAGCCAATCACGAGCCCTATCCCAAACCTATCACCAATTAACTAGCTAGCAATCCCTCACTTAACTAGCCAGCCAATCACCAGTCATATCCTACAAATATCATCAATTAACTAGCTACCCCCCCCCCCCCACCACTAACTAGCCAGCCAATCACGAGCCCTATCCCAAACCTATCACCAATTAACTAGCTAGCAATCCCTCACTTAACTAGCCAGCCAATCACGAGCCCTATCCCAAACCTATCACCAATTAACTAGCTACCCCCCCCCCCCCCCCACCACTAACTAGCCAGCCAATCAGGAGCCCTATCCCAAACCTATCACCAATTAACTAGCTAGCAATCCCTCACTAACTAGCCAGCCAATCACCAGCCATATCCCACACTTATCACCTATTAACTAGCTACCAATCCCTCACTAATTAGCCAACCAATCACGAGCCCTATCCCAACCATATATCACCAATCAACTGGCTAACCCTCCCTCACCAATTAACAATTTTTATCACTGTACGAATAACAAACACAAAGCCAACGCGCTAGACAATAACGCTGCCTTAAAATAACAGACAAAGATATTACAATCGGCGACGTTTCGGGCAATGGCCCTTCTTCACAGCACATCAGTACAGTACTAGCTGTCTC